ACTGGGCGTGACAAAGCGACCGTGGCAAATCATTTTGTCAGTACTAGGGGTGTGCGATATTGACAAAAAATAATCTCAATATTTTCTGGGATTTTATCGATAAAGATAATTAGACAGTATTTTGCTGAGTGTGTTATTTCTTAAGGACCTTAAGGACTATCGTGGACAGCTGAATCCTAAAGTTTTTGATATTCTTCATATTCTGTGTACAGCAGTGACCAAGAAGTTTAAACTGATTTTTAACTTTTATGGTCATTTTTACAATTAAGCCATTTTTTTTCTAAAAGTGTGCATACTCATTTGAGTCAAATTCTTACATTTAATCAGTCAATTATAATAATAATACATTTAGGCTATTACTAAACAAATGAAATCAGTATCAATAAAATTCATCTTTGCAGAAGTGGAATTTAGATGTATTTACACAATGCAGCTCAGAGGGACAAGGAATTGCTTTAACCTGCAGTTACAAATGCATAAATAATGTTTCGATATTTAAACATGAAATGTTGAATACTGATATTTGAAATAATTGGAAAAATGAAAAGATACTTTAAATGTGAAATTAAAACCGCCAGCAAGTCACCGAATCATTTAAGCGGTTGATTCATTCAGGAACGAAACAACATCATGTTGCTCAGAGACGCAAAACAGTGCTGTGGCTGTGTTTGGAATGTTTTTTTTTTGTTGGTGAAATAGTGCAGAAATAGCGCAAAAACAGCCAATATGGTGTCTAAAACGTAACCATGCTGATTTTTAAGAAAAAAACGCGCTATTCGTGTGATATTGATTAACTATATGAATTGATATAAATATATACATTTTCTGCCCCCTTATCTTGAATTATGTGATCATTCTTAATGCATTTTAATAGACTGAATCATGAAGTGAAAGAACGCACTCTAAATGCGCACGCGCACTAAAGCCTGTGTTGGTCTAACCAGACTTCATCACGTCGCGTATGCGTGCCTCTGTAGGTGTGTTTTGTTTAGTTTTTGCAATATACTCGATAATGTGATGTCTCACGAGTTCAGTATTTGCGCTAAACCTGTGCAGATTTGGCTTGCATGAAATTCCCCAAGAAATTGAGCAAGCATAACTTACGAAAAGTAACCCGCCAAATTGGCTAGTGATTTGACAGCGTTACCCGCCACAGCTGATTTTTTTTTACCCGCATTTGGCGGGTTGGCGGGTGTTCATTTCAAACCCTGATCCCGACTAAAGAAAATCTCAGCGTTCAAACGTTAATTTGACTGTTAATCTTATTATCTAGTATTTTCACTTCAGTTTCACAGGAACAAAATTAAACCTTTCGCACAAGACACTTTCTTGCTGAATTCATACTGAGGACTCTGTTAGTAGGGTGAGCATCTAAGGTGAGTCTGTTCTTATAGCTGTTGGTGTTAGTAGGGTGGGTAAGTATTAAAGATGAAGCTGAAATGTGTCCTGCCTTCCTCTCCAGCCACACCTGTGTACATGCAGGTGAGCATGAGACCCAGGGCAGCCATGGCACGGTGTGGGCTGGGCATGTTCACACGCTCAACGCTCAGCTTGACTAGCGTCTCTGCGTCCACACGCGACAACTGCTCAGACAGAAGCAACCGCTCCAGACCTCGCAGAATGCAGTGGTAGATGATGGATGGTGTGGCCTCCTCACTAGCAGACAGCATCATACAGCACAGCTGGAAATGAAGAGAAGGTACAATAGGAGAGAGAGAAGGTTCAGTGACAAATCAGTGTCCAAGGAAAAAAAAAATGTAGCTTAGAACATGTTAAGTTCTTAAAAGTACATGCTCTTTATATTCACATTGGTTTTGGAAAACATTTTTACCATACAACACCATTTCCAAGAGGAGGTTAAATTTAAAGGGATAGTTCACCCAAAAATGAAACTGAAATGAAACCAAACAGTTGTGGGTAGCCATTGACTTTCATAGTATTTTTTCCCCTACACTATCAAAGTCAATGGATACCAGGCAACTGTTTGGTTACCAACAATCCTCAAAATATTGAATTTTGTGTTCAACAGAAGAAATACCGGTTGGATACAGCTTGAGGGTGAATAAATGTTAACAGAATTTAAATTTTTTGGGTGAACTATCCCTTTAATGAAACACTTGTGGTATGTTGTAGCCAAGTAAAATGTGAAAATATATTTTCCTTAAACCTTGAACACATGCGAGTATTTATTACTTTCAAAAACGTTTTAAAATATTTATTTTTCAAAAATGTTTTTACAAATATCACAATTTATTAAATCAGAAATATAATTTAGTTTTTGGAAAATCATGCCACGTAACATTTTACAACCTGAATATACCTTGTCTTGTCAGAGAAAGGTCAAATTATAGTATAATTTCTTGTTTTGCTGTTTCTGCATGTTTTTTCAGCCACATGGCTTTGTTGGTTGCACCACATAACTTAAAACATTTTTGTTTTCTCTAAATAATACAGGATTATGGCAAACTACTTGCCAAACTAGAATAATTTTCTGAATTAATATATTTATAGATAGGACAATAAAAACAGCATCATGTCATTGACCCAGAAACCGACCAGTTGAGGTCCAGAATCAGACTGACCAGTTAACTCTTTCCCCGGAATTTTCTGCCATTTATGAGACAACGCTTCCCTGCCAGTGACAGAATTTTCCGGCTTTCTGTCACTGGTGTATGGCAGGAGTCGCTATTATGCATCTACTGAAAGACGTGATTTTCTTGTTTTTTTGTTGCTTTTTTATGAAACTTACTCATATTCAAGTGTTAATAAAACCAGAATGCATGAAGCTTGAATAAAACAGGGTTTTTTGTTTAAAAGCTGTTAAAAATGTTCTCTTCTTTGTTTTGATATATTACATGTTCAGATATTCATACAACAAAATATTGTGGGGACCATGAAAATTTTGTGAAAATGATCAAAAATGCTTGCGGTGGCTGGCAACTTAAAAAAAAAAAACGCTGACGGGGAAAGAGTTAATATTTCAACACTTTTTTCCAAATTGTTTCACCTGAATGATCCCGGCATTGAACTCGGACCCTACATCCAGAGGGTAGTTCTCCATCATGTAGAATGCCACCGCGCACATCACCAACACATGCTGTTGGTTGTGTAGATTCACACATCTGAGAGACACACACAAACAGTGTTAGGCATAAACACGCTCATCTATTTTCAGTGAGGCTATCTGATGCTAATTCTAGCCCTGGTCTTTAATGAGGGATCTCAGATCTCAGTAAGACACCATACATTACAGCTAATGAGGAGCTGATGACCATGCAGCGTGCAGGCGTGTGTTGTGATTGCCAGTGTGAACCTATTATTGAGTCTCCCAGCATGCCACAGAGACTTTGGCATTAGCTTTGACTGCATGGGGCATAACCTCTTAAGAGAGACGCTAACAGTGTGAAGTCTTTCATCCAATGCAGGACGCAAGCCGTTAACCTCTCATCCCATATTCTCTTAAATAAAACAACAAATATTAAGAGTTAGTGTAACACTAATGATTGGTGTGTGGAGTAGGGGTTAAAGCTCAAGGCTGCTAATAGGAAGATTGCTGATTCAATCCCAGCAAAGACAGAGCATAAAGTGTGTGTATGTATTCAGGTTGTAGTGTTACTCACTGTGCTATAGCTCTAAGGTTAGACAGCAGGTATTCATTGACGGTAGGTATAAGCTGGCGTGCCGTATCGTCCAGTAGGTCGCACTCCAGCACGTACAGAACTCCGTGAAGAGCGGCAATTCGACTGGGCAGATGAGTGCTGCGCAAGGTGCTTTCCAACAGACGGCACACAGGCTCTGCGATGGCTTTATCCTGACACAAGTACATTAGTCCCGACTGTTAAATAGCTGTAGCTGCATTTATTTATATAGCTACTGCATCAGTGCATATACATGCTCACCATGCCAAGCACTGCCGCTGCTTTGCAGATAGCTGGCACGAGGTACTGGTTGAGAATCTCATCTTCTGGTGGATGGACCTTCTGCAGCTCAGTCAAAGTAGAGAACATCATATCAAACTGATTCCTCTCAGTGAAGAGATCAGACACTGCCAGCAGCTTGAAGACACAGAGAGACAAAGAAAGGATATGTGTTAACTGTATAGAAAGAAAATTTGAACGTTTACACTCTTAAAACACACTGTTCAAACTCTCAAATGTTTATTTACTGTACTAGGCAGCAAAAGTTGAAACATGTCAACTGAATCACTAAACAAATACACAGTATGACTAGTATAGCCTGATTCATGAACAAATTACTTCTGTGACCTAGTTCTTATAAAGAATCATAAAACAACTCACAAACTCAGGAGTTATCAGTCTGAATCAGTCTTAATAAAATAAATTATGTACTCAATGAAACAGAGTGGTTACTGAATTTACATCTGACTCACTTCAGTTATGTCTGATTTGAAATGAGGCAAGAACTGTTTTGTAACGTTAGCTTTGTGACAAAGCAGAGCAAAAGATTATTTTAGTTAAACATAATTTCTGTATATTCCTGCTTAATTTAAATTAAAACATTGAATCATGAACTAAATGTTTAAAACAGTAAACACACAGTATGTCAGTTTCACCGCTAGACATCACTTCAAAATGACCAAAATAGAATGTTACCAAAATAGCACTTTTTGTGTGAATTTCAATTTTTTTTATTTCATTGATTTTAAATGTTCCTTTTGTGTTCATTTCGTAAAAAGCAGCAAGTGGCACTACATCCAGGTTTCTTTTAACAAGTGTTGATTTTGCAGAAAATTGGTAGGTATTTCGTAACAATAGCTGTTCTATACAGATCATGCCTTTTTCATTGGGGCCAAAAAACCCACCATTTAACTATTTTTTTTTTTTGAGAACAAATGGAAAAATTTCTATATATATCATTTATCGTCAAAATCTGGAAAAATATTGAGATATACATTTTTAGCTATATCGCCCAGCCCTACTATACAACATAAAAAGGCTGATGAAATGCTAAGCACAGACTCACCGATCTGACCACCTCACTGAGGAGCACAACAGGAGTCTTCTTGCTACTGGGGCTTCCAGGCAGGATCCACTGACTGTAGAGCTCCAGAAGGAACTGAGAGCAGGAATGGATGTCAACCCCAGCACGGTGCTTCCTGGAACCACCATGGTACATATAAAAAGCACATACTTTGTGTTGGTAATTTAATGGTCCATTACACAAAGAAGAGGCAAATATACCATAATGCATTTGGTGCTCCAGTTGTATTTCAAAAAACACAATGGCGCCTGTTAAAAAGAGCATGGTACTGTATTTTGTTGTACTTGCCTCAAAAAATAATGGAAAATCAATGCTACTGAAGATTTACTACCACTACCCTGATATCACATGTCAACAGCCCAAATTATGCCAGCACCGTGGTATATTTTGTTACCGTTTTTATTTATTAACCTCAAAAAATTTACTGAATGATTACAGTATTAGTGTACTGTGGTACTCCAAGGTACTCAAAATAATTTCTTAGTAATACCATGGTAGTTTACAATTAACATGATCTCACCTATAAAAAAACAATGAATGAATGATCTCAAAAGTGATGATCCCAAATCACTTTTCCTAAAAGTTTGGGATCAGTAAGATTTTTTAAATGTGTTTTAAAGAAGTCTCTTCTGTTCATCATGGCTGCATTTAATTTCATTGATCAAAAATGCAGAAAAAAACAGTAAAACTGTGAAATATTAACTATATAAATAATATATTAGATAATAATAATCAATTATATATATATTATATATTAAGAATTATTAATAATTAATTTAATATAAAATATAAACTGTTTTCTATTTAAATACATTTTAAAATGTAATTTATTCCTGTGATGCAAAGCTGAATTTTCAGCATTCATTACTCCAGTCTTCAGTGTCACATGATCCTTCTGAAATCATTCTAATATGCTGATCTGATACTTAAGAAACATTTATTGTTATTATCAGTGACATTTTGATAAATTTTTTTCAGGATTCTTTGACGAATAGACAGTTCAAAAGAACAGCGTTTATGTGTAAAATTATTATTTTTTGTAACAACATAATTGTCTTAACTGTCACTTGTGATCAATTTAATGCATCCTTGCTGAATAAAATTAATTTCTTAATAATGAAAAAAAAAAAATCTTACCCCAAACTTTTGAACTGTTGTGTATACTCAACTTAATCAGTAATTTGACATAGTAGCTTACCTATTTAAGGTACTATTTAAATTATCTTATGCCTCCACATATGTCTTTACTATCTGTAATTCTTTTAATTGTATTCATTTTTGAGTGATGTAATGAAGAAATCAAAGATTCTGTAAGATATCGTAAAATTTCATGACTACTTTTATAGAGACACAAACTCTGAAACTTGTCTCTCATACCCAGAGTGTTAATGCGGTAGAGGAACTCTCTGAAGACATCTTTCTCCTGCAGGAACTCTACAGGGATCTCTGGCAATGCTGTGCCAAATTCTCCACTCGGCCTGGGGGACCAGCCCAGCTTCCAGACCTGTTAAATCAAACAAACAAACACTTTCATATGCTTCTAAACACACATAAACACAATGAACGCATAAACACTCAATCATTGTCTCTCACCAGTGGTGGGATTCGGGTGTAGCTGTTCACAATGGGCAGCCTGGCCAGGCTGATGATGACATTCCGTAGGGTAGGTGTAAGGAACGCTGGAATGTTCTTGTTTCTGTGGTGACCCAGAGCCAGCACACTTTGCAGACCTTCAACCAGCTCAGCCATGATCTCACAACACCGCCATTCAAGTTGTTCTTAAAATTTTTTTAAAAAATAACAAAAACAACCGTGACATTAACGCTTGTTGTTGTGGTCATCATGGATCAGTGTGTAACATATATGTGTTAACCTACTATCTGCAGAGTCCAACTGGTCTTCTGACTGCTCTGTTTTCCGCTCCGGCGTCAGAAGCTGGTCACCAGGACCAACAGCGACTACATAACACACATAACATCATAATCACAAAATGAATATAAATTTTGATTGCACTTTTATAAGGTTTTATTAGGCCGTGTTTTCCAGAGTTTTGCAACACACACCTGCGTGGATGAGGAGCTGTATACAGTGGACAATGGAGCAGGTGTGTGTGAGGTAGGTGTGTGAGGCGAAGTGTGTCCACACCGCCGGCTGCTGGAGAGCCAGACACAGACACGACAGACTCATCTGCATGTCCACACTCAGAGGCAGCTGATCCTGCAGCAAACGCCAAACCACCACCTACAGATACAGAAAGAGAAACATGCGCTGAGTGGCTTTTATTTATATAGGACGTTATGCCTACATCATATGCTGAAACGCAACTCTCTCGTGAATGCACATATGACAGTTAGGGAAAGCTAGAGATTATGGTTTACACAGTTTTAAATATTGATATTTTTCTTACACAAACGCATCGCTTCAGAAGGCCTTTATTAACCCCCGGAGCCGTGTGGAGTACTTTTCATGATGGATGGATGCACTTTTTTGGGCTTCAAAATCTTGACCCCAATTCACTACCATTATAAAGCTTGAAAGAGCCAGGACATTTTTAAATATAACTCCGATTGTATTCATCTGAAAGAACAAAGTCATATACACCTAGGATGGCTTGAGGGTGAGTAAATCATGGGGTAATTTTCATTTTTGGGTGAACTATCCCTTTAATCAAACTGTCTGTCTGTGGAAATTAAACCGCAAAAACACTGATATTTAAATATTATGTCTGCAAGTTCTGCGCATCTATGTGTGAAGATATGGAGCTGTTTTGTCTACTACACACATTCTCAAGTGACATCTCACTATTTGAAGACACTTCACATGAACTACATCTCCAGAGCTGCGCTGAGAGTTCACTTCACCAAGTCATTTGATAAAACTTTCGTCAGATACTTTCTTAAAGCAATAATAATAATAATAAACTTTATTAAACACTATTTAAGGAATATCACAATTTTTTTAATTTTTAAATAGTAAATCTCTGTTGTGCAGCACTTTGCTTGCCAAAAAAGGAATTGTTCAAACTGTATTGTAATACATTTTAAAGGATCAGTTAAATTAAAAACACAGAATCCAAAAAACTTCAAAAACAGACAAAAGAGTTTCTGAAATTTTTTATTTTATTTTTTTTATTCTTAGTGCACTATTATTGTTAAAATTAAATTCAATTATAAAATTACTTAAGTTTTATGAATTCAATTGATTACAAATCCTTTTTGATTATTTTATTTGGTCTTTTGGTCCTTAAAAGTTGAAATGTAAAACACAACATTTTGTTAAAAAATAAAACGAAATTTGTGAAAAAATAAAACCCTATTTATATTTATATTTATAGCATTAAAAAATCTTATTTTTCAGGATAGACCAGCCAATGCGCAATGCTATGCTAGCATTAATTTCGTCGACGAAAAATGTTCATTGACAAGCTTTTTTCCCATGACTAAAACGAGACGATGACGAGACAACAATAAGGTCAATAAACGATAACTGTGACTATACCAACATGCAATATCGTTGACGATAAAAGACAAGACTAAAATGTATTAAACTATACCAAATTTTTTTTTTTTTCGTTATTGTCGAGAAAATAAAGGAGACAAAATATTATTGTGGACTGCTGTACATGTCTCTCCTACGCGAGCTTTCATGTGTGCGGTTGCCAGATATCAAGAGTTCAAATCCCCAAATCAGAGCTTCTCTGTTAAAAGGTTACATTTTCTGTCCGGTGTTTTGCTTAATTTTTGCAATCTGGCAACCATGCACACACGCTCGCTCTACATGTTTTAATCCAGTATTTTTTCCCATGACTAAAACGAGACGATGACGAGACAACAATAAGGTCAATAAACGATAACTGTGACTATACCAACATGCAATATCGTTGACGATAAAAGACAAGACTAAAATGTATTAAACTATACCAAATTTTTTTTTTTTTCGTTATTGTCGAGAAAATAAAGGAGACAAAATATTATTGTGGACTGCTGTACATGTCTCTCCTACGCGAGCTTTCATGTGTGCGGTTGCCAGATATCAAGAGTTCAAATCCCCAAATCAGAGCTTCTCTGTTAAAAGGTTACATTTTCTGTCCGGTGTTTTGCTTAATTTTTGCAATCTGGCAACCATGCACACACGCTCGCTCTACATTGCGGAAGCGCCAACGATGATCTGAAAACAGACAAACAAGTAAGCTGGAGTTTAGCGAATTCCATGTGAGACGTTCGGCTTAAATGAAAGTGTCATTCAGTCTGTCTGTGTTCTGTCATGAGATCCCGAGTATTTTGTTTATGATTGTGGTTGCTAAATAAATGCACTTACTCAACCGCTGTTGTTTTAATAGAGAAACATCATTGAGTGAGTGAGTGAGTGAGCGATGTGACATGTGGCCAAGTATGGTGTCCCACACTCTGAATTTGTGCTCTGCATTTAACCCATTCAAGTGCACACACACAGCAGTGAGTAGTGAACACACGAACACACCCGGCGCAGTGCAATTCCAATAATTCCATTGCAATTTGGAATTATTGGAATTACTATTAGGAATTTCACTGTTAAACTATTTTTTGTTTGTTTTTACCAGTTTTCATAATGTAGACAGAGAGAGTGCTAATCTAAGTCTTTGATATTAATTTATATATTAAATAGCCTGTAATAAATCAGTACACTAGATAAGGTCAAATAAACCATGTGTACGAGTACACATGATTTGTACAATACCTGAAATGTAAAAATTAATTTCTCAAATGACAACAATCATTGCGATAATAATTTTTAGCAAAAAATATTTTTTTCAGTTTAACCATTATACAGCATGACGAAGACTTGACTAAGTTTTCATTGACTAAAACTAGACTAAAATGTTCAGACATTTAGCAGACTAAAACTTGACTAAACAAAAACAGGACAAGGTTGACTAAATATGGTAATAATTAAAAAGTAAATTTGACACAGGACTAAGACTAATTTAAAAGACTAAGGTGATGACTTTATCAACTGGCGACTGGCTCTTTTACTGAGAAGGCGGGACTGTTCCGCCATATTGCGCGTTGCACTTTCTCCCATTCATAAGTAATAGGAATGCACTGTCTTTGTATATCTAACGTCTCTGTTTTTTACTTACTGGCATCACCCGGTAAGTTTGTCTGTTTGACCAATGCGTGCCAAACATTTATTTTCACAGTGCCGAGGCTTTTATTTTAACAGCACTGAGATTGTACTGTCGGTTACAGTGTTTACTTCCTTTTTATTCACGTTTTTAAGAAGTTTATTTCTGATAAATACTATAAGAGAATTACATAATCAAGATCTTTCTTTCAATATTGATTCATTTTCAAATGATCAAACAATCCATATTGGTCAGCCACTAGAATATCCCATATAAAATCATCCTATTTGCAAAGGATGCATCAGTCTTACCTCTATGGCGAGGGTGCTGAAGGTGGTAATGATTGTCTCTTTGTCTTTGGGAATGTGCAGTGATGACGGCAGTTTGGACAGAGACAGCAGGTACTGACTCAACACGCCACACAGACTCAACACTGTCTGATAAAACCCAGGCTCACCTGCAACCACACACATAAACACATGCAAAGAGAGTGTGTTCATTACCACTTCACTATAATTTGCAGCATTTGCCACAAAGGATAATTCCTATGTACTTACACCTACGAAAGTTTGGACAGATCTACTAATTTTATTTGTATTACTATTTTCACCATGATGTTGTTATAATAATAATAATAATAAAATCACCAAACCAATGAGATAACACAAATGTAAGGATGGGGATTTTGCAGTGACCAAAGCAATGTTAAACAAAGTTTGCCTTTGCCTTGATTATAGTATTGTACACATTTGTATGTTGATCAGTGCCACCTAATGTAGAGGAACAGATTTGGTTTGTTGTTAGCCAATGGTTACCCAAACAGGTTCGGGAGGGGGTTTGTGAGTTGATGAAAAGCTAATAATGAATTAAAATGAATGTAAAATTATTAGATTTTATTCAATTAATATTTGATTAGGTTCCTAAAATACCAGTGTGAGCATTAACCAACATTAGAAAACATGAATATACGAATGTGCCATTACATTATTAAAATATAAACTTCAAGCATGAGTAGGCATATTGTTTGGAGTGAATAAGCTTCATTCTGATTGTGACTCACTGTAGACTTGATTAAGCTTTTGCCAATAGTCCGCACACATTTTGGAGGAGGGTAGGAGGGTCTGATGAGGGGAAGGGAGGAGCTCAATGACACCAGCCAATCGCTCGAAGGCCACCTGTTGAGCTGTGTCAAATATAACCTTCCCATGATTCTTACACACCCTCTGTACCCCAACACTCAGACATGAAGCCAGCAGACACAAGTTAAAGTCCTGCAAATAAAATAACACAACTTCAGTGTCTGTTCATGTTATAAAATGTTGAGTTGATTAGCTGATTGGCATGTCACCATATTCTAATTTGTTGAGATTGGGTTTTTGTTAAATGTGAGCCAAAATCATCACAATTAAAAGAACCAAAGACTTAAACTACTTCAGTCTGTGTGCATTGAATTTATTTAATACACGAGTTTCACAATTTGAGTTGAATTACTGAAATAAATGAACTTTTTCACGACATTCTAATTTATTGAGATTTATTTATCTATTTGGTCTTTACCTTGCAGGTCATGATTGCGTTCAGGTCAGATTGAGGAAGTTTTGTCAGCAGCTCTGTAGTTTCATATAGAGCTCCTTCACGTCTCAAACAACATTGAGATTTCACCAGAGCAACATACCAATCCTGCAATGCACACAAACAATAGTAATGTTATGCTTTTGCTAAGGATTTTTCAGCTATTTTCAGCTAGAAACCAAAGTAATTCATACTTTATTGGGTTCCACATATTCAGGGGGAGGGGGCAGGTTCCCATCCAGTGGGTGCGAGGTGATGGGGGCGGCAGGGCTCGTGGTATCTTCAGCAACAGTGGCTCTGAACCTGTCCAGTAGGGAGTAGAACCGCTGATGCCTGACATAAGAAAAAAAAGGGCATTTTAAAAAGCAGTGTTGGGAGATCTTCTTATCAACAGCAACAAAACAAATAGATCAGAAGTAAACTGATGAGGCGCTTTACCTTTGCGCAAGGCCACTGGTCTGCAGGTACTGCTGAATCCTGTCCAGCTCCTCCAGTGGCAGCTGAGCGATACTATTCTACAGTAGGAGAAGAAAACACAATCCTCAATTGGTAACCATTTAGTGCAGTGGTTCTCATCCAGGGGTCCGGGGGCCCACTATGTGCCCTTCCAAGGGGGCTGCAAGATGGCTTAATATGATATAAAGTAGATGTAAGCTGACATTGTATTACTTATTTTAGTTTGTTCCCTCAACAACTGTCATTTTAATTTAACTAATCATTAAAATTAATATTATTATATTATTATTAATATTTTGCCACATTCTTCATTAATAAAATTACAAACCTCAGTGCACAATTTGGATAAAAGCATCTGCTAAATGACTAAATGTAAATGTAAAATGTTTAATATTAGTCATGGAAATTTTTACAATGATTTTATTATATATATTTATTTATTATTTATATTATATATTATTTTATCTAATCATGTCAATCTCTAAAATATTTTATCGGGTAGAAATGGTCATTTGTGAGTAAAAAAAAAACATTTAAAAATACTGTAATCACAAATTACAAGAAGTGACGTAAATTCCTTTGTAATAAAAATAAATCATTGAAAAACATTCAGTTATTTAATTAGATATTTTAAATTTATTTGAATTAGTTACAATTATTTTATTTAATTAATGAGGTTTTATTATTGTAATGTATAATATTTATATAAATATTTAAATATTTAATTCAACTAATTTAAAGTGCCTCTTCTTGTTTCTGTATAATAAAAAAAACTGAAAATCAGCAGTATTGTCATTACAGCAGAATTGCCAGGAATTTCTTGGGGGAGCTTCAAATATCGTCTTTGACAATAAGAAAAGCTGATTTGTGGTATTTGACTTAAAGTGAGACACAAGAATAGATCTTGATTATAACTAAAAAAATAACTGGGAAGCCACTGGCTTCTAAAAGAATCATTTAGGAGCCAAATTACTTTAGTTGCCATATTACAGAATTGCTTGTTATAGACTGTTGTTATGAGCCTAAGTCCTTTGTTTGTTGTTTCTATTCTGCCCTCTTGTGTTCTCTCTGTGTATGTGTATGTTTGTGTTTCAGATGGGCGGCTCCTTGATATAATTTGCTGGAGGCTGCGATTGGTTCTCCTCCTCACCTGACCTCACCTGATCAGTCATCCATCCTCACAATCTATTACAGTAGTAGAAGTTTCACAGGGAGCTGCATTAAATTGTTTATTTTTAACTGCATTTTTTGTCATAGTATTTCAATTCTGTTATTTATTTGCAATTATTTTAGTTTTATTTAATTACCATTTATTACAACAAATGGCACAGACAGTAAAATAAGCTGGTAGTGAGTTGTTACTGTGTGTGTGGCCGTGTTTTACCTGCAAGGTCTCGGCAAGCAGCATCTCCACACGTCTGCAGGCGAGTGTGTCCACCATGCGAGCCAGCACACGGAACGGCGTGTTGAGTAGCTTGTCCACGTATAGCATTAGCAGAGCCCCAGACTGACTTAGATGAATGCCCTCCAGACACTGCAGGGTCTTCTTCAGCATTACCGGCTGGAGATTTACACATTTAAAACATAAAGTGACTGAAAAGATAAGCAAAGCACGAACTAAAAGAAGATGCAGTGCATGTGCATATACATACAGTAGAAAGGTTGTCGCAGCGTGATTGTATAGCCTGTATGAAGAGTCCGCTGGCTGCCGAATTTCGGTGCACAGCACTGATGAGATCCTGCACTGGAGGCTCATGGGAAAGACTGATCAGATCACTCACATGATTCACTGTCAGCCACGTCAGATGCTCAGAGTCATGCAGGTTTTGACACTTGAGACAGGAGGAGAAAAAACAAAGATGACCTTTTTATTTTTTGTAAAGTGCTATGTATAAAATATTTCATATGAAATACAATACTAAATTGTAAGCTTGGCAAACAGAGATGTTTTACATAATGGTATCATACCAGTTAACAAATGATTTTAGGAGATTTTTTTTTTAATTATCAGTATCAGATGATTTTGCATATATAATGGCCGGTACACTCACTTTAAGGGGCAGTTCACCCAAAAATGGAAGTTCTCTCATCATTTACTCACCCTCAAGTTGTTCCAAACCTGTAAGAATTTATGTCTTCTGCTGAACACAAAAGAAGATATTTTGAAGAATGTGGGTAACCAAACAGTTTCTGGTCCTTATTGATTTTTCATTTGTTTTGTTTTTTTCCATACTACGGAAGTCAACAGGGACCAGCAACTGTTTGTTCACCCACATTCTTTAAAATATCTTCTTTTGTGTTCAGCAGAAGAAAGAAGCTCACAGGTTTGGGACAATTTGAGGGTGAGTAAATGATGACAGAATTTTCAAGAAAAATTTCTTTAAAAAAAAAAATCTTAAGTGATATGGAAGTTAAGATAGGTAAAATAAAACTCATGCTCAGACACTGCTTTAAAAAAAAAGGCACACATTGCTTATGTAATCTCACCACATAGTCACAGAAGAGGATAAGTGCTCCTCGTCGGACGATCTCTCTGTTACACATAGCCAACTTCCCCTCGGGTCTCTCCTCCTCTCCAGATGAGTGCGGACTCAGCAGCTTAGTGCTGGACAGACTGTGCCTCCTGATGAAATTATAAAGGGAAAACAAGTTGCTTAAAGGCAAAGTTACATATTTGTATAAACAACAACAGATCTACCATAGACTCTTACAAAGAGCAATTTCAAGCTTCACTTTACCAACATATAACTGTAATGACTCACAACACGTGGAAGGCCAATTTGTTTTTGCCCTTACAAAGAGCAATTTATTCCTAAAATTATAAAGAATTTTGCTTAGCCTGGTTGTAACAGTTGGAGGAGGCTTCATTTTAAACAGCCTTTCTCATTAGGCTGCTAGCATGTAGTCTGACCTGGGTGTCTGATGCACCTCTGACCACCAGGTGTAGTTGGTGTAGTTGATGATGAGAAGGACCTGACACCAGAGCAGGACCAGAGATGGGTGTGTAGTGATGAGCTGGAGCACCAGGCTGTTCAAACCCTCCAAAGCATAAAAATTACCCCCTTCCTCTTCCTCTGCCTTCAACAGCCTGCTGCCCGCTGCCGTGATTCGCCGGAACATTCCTGGAAAGTTGATGGCAAATGGGAACTTACTGAGAAATCTACTGAGAAATCTGCTGAGCTGGTAAAGGGCCGGTGTTTGGTTCTTACACCGTGACATGTGACTATATGAGTTAAGACACGAGATTCTGCCTACCTGATTTGAAGATGTGGATCAAACACATGAGCATTGTGCCCAGCTGCTGACAGTAGAACGTGTGCTGTTGTTCACTCATATCAACTTTCACCTGTTTAGTGGCGATATCATCCAGCAACACCCCCACTAACTGCAATAAGAACCTGACAAACAAAAAGAGATTAATAATTGTATTAATTAAATAATTATTATTATTGTTGTCGTGTTTGCCTTGTTGCTATGAACATTTAGAATATAGAACAATGGAACATTTTAGCAGAAGCATTCAACTAATCATACAAAAAAAGGAGGAAAACCTGTTTTTTCCCATTCAGTATGACTGTACAACAACAACAAATATAATTACCAAGGTTATTATTATTACTCAATATATTTTATTTTAGCATTTTTCCACACTAACTGACTTTATTTCCAGTGACCAGCAATTACCTAGCAAACGTTTCCTCAGGAGGGACGCGCTGCGGCTCTTCATTGGCGTCTTCCATGGTGGTGGGCGGGGCTTCAGGAGGGGAGGGGTCATCGTCACACAATCGACCGATGGTGGGACAGGAAAGGAGGTATGGCGACAAAGAAAGCTCCTGAATACGAGACAGAATGATGTCCTCTGTGGACTGTGAGATGAGGACGCGCAGGATTGCGAGAATCCCAGACACCCACAACTGCACCGTACACGCTGATGCCTACAGAAGAGAACAGGCAAACAATGAGCCACTTAACAGGATTAAGGTGCATTGGCAATACTGTCAAGCTAATTTTTCAGTGGGTAAAAAAACAGTCATTTCAATAGGAATCCATGTGATAGGGAATTTTGTGTGAAGGCAAAAGATTTCCCTATGTAGTTGGTCACTCAAATTCACCACGTGTACCAACAGAAAGCTGCTAAAAGTGACTTCTGTCTGAGCTATGCTTCATACACTATATGGACAAAAGCATTGAGACACACCTCTTAATTGCTGAATTCAGGTGTTTCAGTCAGACCCATTGCCAGTTATATAAAATCATGCACCTAACCACGCAGTCTGCATTTACAAACATTTGTGAAAAAATGGGTTGTTCTAAAGAGCTCAGTCAATTAAAGCGTGGTACTGTGATATGATGCCACCTTTGCTACAAGTCAGTCTGTGAAATTTCATCTCTGCTATTCAGCTGTGAGTGATATTGTGTTTAGGAACAGCAGCAAATCAGCCACAAAGTGGAAGATCATGTAAAGTCACTGAGTGCTGAGGAGCATGGTCCATAAAATCATCAACACTCTGCTGATTCCATAGCTAAAGAGAACCAAACTGTTACTGACATTAATATCAGCACAAAAACTGCTTCATGGACTGGTTTTTATGGCCAAGCAGCTGCATGCAAGCCTCAGATCACCTAGCACAATACCAAGCGTCAGATTGACTGGTGTAAAGCACGCCGCCAATGGACTATGGAGCAGTGGAAACATGTTCTGTGGAGTGAAGAATAGTCTCATAGGCGAGTCTGGGTTTGGCTGATACCAGGAGAACATTACCTGCCTGACTGCACTGTGCCAATTGTAAAGTTTGGTAGAGGAGCGATAATGGTATGGAGCTGTTTTTCAGGAGTTGCTGAAAACGCCACTTGCTTCCATGGTGGCCAATCATTCCAGTGAAGGCCAATCATAATGCTTCAGCGTACCAAGACAATTTGGACAATACTATGCTTCCAAATTTGTGGGAACAGTTTGGGGAAGGCCCTTTTCTATTCCAGCACGACTGTGCCTCAGTGCACAAAGCAAAGTCCATAAAGACATGGTTGGATGAGTTTGGTGTGGAAGAACTTGACTGGCCCACACAGAGCCCTGACCTCAACCCCACTGAGCACCTTTGGGATGAACTGGAATGGAGATTGCGAGCCAGGCCTTCTTATTCAACATCAGTGCCTTATCTCACAAATGCTCTACACTGTCCATATAGTGTGTATTGTTACACTACTGACATAGACAATGAACCATTTTGTCCACAAATTCGCCTGATAATAATATATACTGCACGAGGAAAGTAATCTAAGTGATGCGTGACTGAAGGTTCTCACTAGTGTAGAAGGTGTGATGAACATGCTCTTCAGTAGCATGTCCACAGGCCGCAGAGAGGAGGGAGCCACTGTCTCGAACAGTGTGTTTAACACACCCAAAGCCTCATGGGAGTCCAGGTGCATCTGTCAAGCAAACAAAAGCAAATCTGTAAAGTACACATTTAAAAAAACAACAACTGTTTATTAGATTTTATTCTGAATTTGAGATGAAACTCTTATAAAGGAAGTCGAGTAGACAGAGACGCACTTGCTGTTTGCCGATCATTGGCAGTATAATGTCAGAAATCTGCCGTGAAAGCCTCTTCCATTTATCTTCATTCTCTTTATGGCACTGCTGTAGGACTAGAATAAACATCTCCAGCACCTACACACAGAAGCATCCATTATTTTACATGTAAATCCATGAATGCAACACACACACAACAGAACAAAGTGTTACCTGATGGTGTTGTATGAGGCGTAGCAGCATGGACACCACCACTTCCTTCTGCGTGTCCAGCTCCTTCCCTGCATCTGCTTTATTGGAGCCACGCAGCACAAAGAGGTCATGTACTATAGGCTGCAGTGCAGGGATTGCTGGGAAATAAAGAGAAGAATAAGAATCAACAGTCTAACTTTTTCAAATGATTAGATTAATGTTTAAACTAGATGTCATATTATGTGAAATTTTACAGCCGATATGCAAATATTTATTTTCTTTTTTTTTTAAGTTTAAAATGTGATTTGGTAAACAGTCATTACATATTCACCTCAAGGATGTGAATATATATTCATATTGTGATTCTACACACCGTGTGTTACTGCCTTCCTGTCGCTGGCCAT